TCTTCCACATTTTTCTTTAGAATCATTTTGGCGATTTTCACTGCCGCTTCAGCCTCTCCATTGCTTTGGGAAAATTTTGGGCTACTTGTTACATGCTTGAAGCCATAAACTTTGGAAAATGTCTTGAAATCTGAATGTTCAAGGACTTGAAATTGAGACCCACAGTCAGACCTAATTTCTTCTGGAATGCCGTGTCGACAGAAAAAGGCTTTGCATCTCATTATTACTTCTCGTGATGTTAATGACTCTAATTCAGCTATCTCAAAATATCTGGAGTAATAATCTGTCACAGTCAAAAACCAAACGCCTTCAAGTTTGAACAAATCCATCGCAAGTGTTTTCCATGGCCTGTCAGGGAACTGTGTGGGAAGCAATGGTTCATGACTGTTCCTTGAATGTTTAATACAAGTAGGGCATGATTTCACCATACTTTCAATGGCTGAAGAAATTCCTGGCCACCAGACTGACTCTTTTGCACGTAAACGACACTTAGTGATTCCAAAATGACCTTCATGTACTCTTTGAAGTGCCCAAGACTGCAGAGCTGGCGGAATTACAAGTCTTGAACCTCGTACGTAGTATCATCTCATTATCAACACTTAGCTCATCCTTAACTGAATTATACGGTTTTAGGTCATCTCGTAATGATGTCTTAGAAGGCCAACCTTGGATGATTATTTTTTTCAGTTCACGTAAAGTCGGATCTTTATTTTGTTCCTCCAATACTTTAGCAACTATGCAGTCGTTTATATCAATGGACGACAAAACCATTTGAACAAACGCTTGAGTTTCTTCTTCTAACTCACGGTCATCAGTACCTGAAAATGGGAGAGGTGCTCTTGAAAGAGCATCAGGAACTAGAAGCTGCTTTCCAGGAATATAAGTAATTGAAAAATCATATCTCATGAGACGCAATCGAATTCTTTGAATTCTTGGAGACAATTCATCAAGATGTTTGGATTTCAAAATTTGAAGTAGTGGTTTGTGATCTGTTTGTATTGTTATTCTCTTGCCAATAATAAATTCTTGAAACTTTTCACATGCCCAGGCAACAGCTGTAGCCTCCCTCTCGATGTTTGCATAGTTTTTTTCAGAAGGAAGAAGGTTTCGGGATGCAAATGATACTGGTCGTATAGAACCATCATCTTGAACTTGAGAAAGAGTTGATCCTAGTCCTTGAAGCGAGGCATCACAGGAGATAATTGTTTCCCGATTTACATCGTAAATGGCTAGGCAAGGAGAGTTAGTCAAAATGAGTTTTATTTCATCAAATGCCTTCGCCTGCTCTGGACCCCATATCCATGGAGCGTTAGCTTGAAGTAGTGAATTCATTGGGGCCAAAATCTTAGCTTTGTCAGGAATAAACTTACCAAGAAAGTTTACCATCCCATTGAACCTTTGAAGTTCTTTTACGTTTTTTGGGCAGTCCATTTTGAGAATGGCGGAAACCTTTTCCTTATCAACAGAAATTCCATCGGATGAGAGGAAATGCCCGAGGAATTTAATACTTGACTTCCCAAACTCAGTTTTGTCTTTGTTAAGTGTCATTCCTACATTTTTAAGCTTTTCAAGTACTTGCCGAACAACTGTAGCCTATCATGTTCTTCTTTCGTTTTGCCCCAAATCAGAATATCGTCCATATGGACTGCGACATTTGACTGGTTGTCTAAGATTTTGTTCATGCATTTCTGAAAATGTTCAGGTGCTGATGTGATTCCAAATGGAAGTTTGAGAAATTTAAAACGTCCAAAAGGGGTAAGGAAAGTAGTTAGATCCTGGGAATTTACATTTAAGGGGACTTGCCAAAAACCACTGTTTGCATCAAGTTTTGAAAACCATTTTGCTCCTGACATTGAGCTGAGAGACGTTTCAATTTTGGGAATCGGATGATAAGACCGCTGGATGGATTCATTCAACTTTGTTAAGTCAACACATATGCGGACATCTCCATTAGATTTAGGCACTACTACCATTGCTGAGCACCATTCAGTAGCATGCTCAACTGGTGTGATTACATTATTTTGTACCATACTTTCTAGTTCTTTTTTCACTTGACACATTAGGGGTAAAGGTACTGTCCTAGGAGTGGTTATTGCGTATGGCTTTGCGCCATCCTTAAGTGCTATTGTGTAGGGATCAGGAATGACGCCTAGACCACTAAACATTTCATGGTATTCGGTAAAAAAGTCACTGTCTACCTCTGCAACTGAATTAACAAAAGTTAAAATTTTCAAGTCCTGTATTGCTGGACGACCAAGCAAGGGTGTTATGAGTCCCTTCACTACGTATACCATGTGATTTATTTTTACATCTCTGTATTGGATATTAGCTTTAACACAACCTACAGGTTCTAATTTTGTTCTACCAGCCCCAAACAACTCAACTAGAGTCGGCTGGATCCTACTTGGATCAACTATGCCAGGGGGAATTACTGTTACATCTGCCCCTGAATCAATTTTAAATGTTTGTGGTTTTCCCTCAAATACTAATTCTAGTTTCCAGGGCTTACATTTTGACCCATCCCCAAGTGTACCTATGAATACTTTATTATTTGAAGGTCCAAGTTCACTTACTTCATTTTCGTCAGTTACTTCCTGTGCTTTAGATCTGCAGACCTTCGAAAAGTGACCAATCTTTTTGCATAAGTTACATGTTGCGCTTTTTGCTGGACACGTGCTTCTTGGATGGGACGGTTTATAACCACACCAGATACATTGCGCTGGGTATTCTTGTTTCTTTTGACGAAACCTATATCCTTGATTTTGGTTTGAACTCGATGACGTAGTTGCTTCAATTTGAACTCTTTTCTCATCACAGAAATCTGCTTTCTCTTTCTTTACGTTATCTGCATGTCTTATTACTGTAATGGCCTTGTCTAAATTCATCTCGGGATCTAGCAACAAGCGATCACTAAGTTTCTCATCATTTAAACCCAGTATTAGCACCATCAACACCATTTCATCATTAAGTGAACCCCAGTCACAGGTTCTAGCCAAGGAATGGAGACTAACTATAAACTCTTCAACTGTTTCATTAATTTTTTGTCGTCTCTTCAAAAACTTTGCTCTTTCAAAAATTAAGTTCCTCCGTGGAATAAAATGTTTGTCAAATAAATCTAAGACTTCTTCAAATGTTAGCGTTGATTCCGTTGCTAAATTAAAAGATGCAAAAATCTCATCAGCTTTCTCATCTAATGTGTATATAAGAGTGTTGATTTGTTTGTTCTCAGACTCTTCAGATAGCCCAGATGCTGACCGATATCTTTGAAATCGTGTTTTCCATCTTGGCCAATCTGCTGGTACAAAGGAGAAACTAGCTGGGGGTTGAATAACTGAATGAGTGTTTGATACAATGATTGACTTCTTAGTTGAATTGTTGTATTCATTTTCTCTGCTTCTTTCATTTTCATTATCTTCATAGTCAGATTGTTTCCTTCTTGGATTTCTCTTCTAAAAGGCATAGCTCTAAACCGCTGCCACCATGTACTATTTTACTAAGAATTAAGTGAATGCACTGTTTTATGTCATAACTCAAACTCAACTAACTTTATTTACCTTTTTACAAACATAGAATAACAAATAAACATATGATAATAATTAATAGAAATTAACAGGTGTTATGAAATAAACTGTTCTCACAACATCTTCCATTTTTATTCTTAAGAAAATACTAAGGATGAAAAAAAAGAGCTTTGTTAATGTTTTCATTTATATCAATTTTAAAATTTAAATACAATGCATCAAAATTAATATCAAACTGAATAAATATTGGTGTAACTTATACAGGGTTAGTAAAAAGTGTGGAGACCCCCTGTTATTTTTTTAACGGCCCATACTAGAAAAACTAAACTTGGCACACCTTTATGGCATGTTATGAAGTACTTTTTGGGCATAACCGTCACTTGGTGTACATCCCCAAAATGGGGGATTTTGGGGGAAACTCAAACATTTCAAATACAAAGACCTACCGAGTGACCCCTCATTTTGAAGGTCCTGGTAAAAGAAAACCAAAAACGCAAACTAGAGGTATTTATCTCAATCCAGTAAAAAATGGCAGCCAATTGAAATTCTCAGTAATTGAATTTAACTTGCAGCTTTCCAAGTCTGGAGACCCCCTGTAAATTTTGTAGCGGCTCACACTAGGAAAACTGAACCCTACACACCTTTTTGGCATGTTAAGAAGTACTTTTTAAGCATAATATCCACTTGCTTACCAAACCCAAAATGGGGGATTTTGGGGGAAACTCAAAAGTTTTAAATGATAAGCCCCATCAAGTGATCCCTCATTTTGAAGGTCCTGGTAAAAGAAAACTTACAACGCAAACTAGAGGTTTCTATCTCAATCCAGTAAAAAATGGAACCTGATTGAAATCTTTAGAAATTGGAAATAACTTGCAATTTTATATTCAATTGGCTGCCATATTTTACTGTGTTAAGATAGAGACCTATAGTTTGCGTTGTTAGTTTTCTTTTATTATGGCCTTCAAAATGAGGGGTCACTTGATGGGGCTTATCATTAAAAAATTTTGAGTTTCCCCCAAAATCCCCCATTTTGGGTTTGGGAACTTATGAGAATTTCAATTGGCTGCCATTTTGTACTGAGCTGAGATAGAGACCTCTAGTTTGCGTTGTTGGTTTTCTTTTACCAGGACCTTCAAAATGAGGGGTCACTCGATGGGTCTTTGTATTTGAAATTTTTTAGTTTACCCCAAAATTTCCCATTTTGGGGATGAACACCAAATGGCGGTTGTGCCCAAAAAGTACTTAATAACATGCCATAATGGTGTGCCGAGTTTAGTTTTTCTAGTATGGGCCGTTAAAAAAATAACAGGGGGTTTCCACACTTTTTACTAACCCTGTATATCGATAGTTATCGTTACTTATAAGATAATATATCACAGGTTCTCTGCGGAACTGTGTCACCCAATAATAGTTCTATAGTCCTATAATTTTTGTTGTAGGCTACCTATTTTGATTTTATGTCGTTTGGAATTTTTTCAGGAAATATTGACTGGAATCACATCCAAAAATGCTGTTGTAATACTGTGTGGTATATCTGCAGAGGATTTACGATCGATAGTGGAGTTTGTATACAAAGGAGAGTTGAATGTGAGCTCAGAACGATTTGTGTCCATTCTCCATGCAGCAGAAACGTTAAAGATAACTGGTTTGATGTCCGTAAGTTTTGTTTTAATTAAATACTTGTTTCTTATCTTATCATTTTAAAAAAGCTGATCTTGATTTTATCGTTTTCTACAAATAGCCTTACTCTTAGCCGGATTAGGTTGTCCATAATAACGAATATAAATAAAAAAAAACATTATTTCTATTTCTTCTCCTTGGTGGTGTTCTATGACTTTTCTATGTTTTTATAGTTTGCAAATCGGCTTTTTCAATGATTACTAAGAAATGCAGCTTGTATTATATCAGTAGTTAATTCAGTTTTCATTTTAGTACATCAAATTATCCCGGCTCTATCGCTTTTTCCCATTGTAATATTTACGCCAACCTAAATTCAAATAGTAAATATATCATTTCAACCAAGTCAAGCAAACTTATTGACTGTTTACAATTAACATATGCTCTTCTTCTCACTTTTAATTTCTGACAACAGCTGGAGTTTCATAAAAGTTTTTGTTTCCTATGTAAATCTTTCTTATGGAGAAATACAAAACTTTAAAGAGCCCCAGGACCTCACTCTCAAGTTATTTCCCTAAAAAGAAAGTTTCCTGCACAACTTCACGTTACGCTCTTTCCAATGACACCCAGGCCCACTTTTATAAATGGGCAGACTGGGCATATGCCCAGGGGTGCCGGTGGCTTGGTGGTCCAAACCACCGCCCGCCAGCACTAGGAAAAAAGGGGGGCGCTGCTCTTGGGTTTGCCCAGGGCTCCACTGACCCTTAACGCGGCCCTGATGACACCAAAAACATGTCAATCGGTTCAGTAGTTTCGGAGGAGTAATTGTCACAAAAAACCTGCTTGCGTATTAAATAAGTACTAGTGTCCCTGTTTCTCGAATTTGAGCAATTTCTAAGTATTAGAGGTGTTATTTTAAAAGGAATAACGTTCATAATTTCTGATGACTTTAAAAGATTCGACCCAAAGATTATGGAAATATTCCAGATGTACATAACAGAATATATAAATTTATCCAGGCTCTCTCGCTTTTTTCCATTGTAATATTTACGCCAACCCGAATTCAAATAGTAAATATTTCATTTCAACCAAGTCAGTAAATGTTTGTAGCAAACTGTAAAATTAGCAAACTTATTGACTGTTTAAAATTAACATATGTTTTTCTTCTCACTTTTAATTTCTGACAACAGCTGGAGTTGCATAATAATTTTTGTTGCCCATGTTAATCTTATGGAGAAATACGAAACTTTAAAGGTTCTTAGGGCCTCACTCTCTGATTATTTCCCTAAAAAGAAAGTTTCCTGCACAACTTCACGTTACGCTCTTTCCAATGACACCAAAATCATGTAAATCGGTTCAGTAGTTTCGGAGGAGTAATTGTCACAAAAAACATGCTTGCGTATTAAATAAGTATAGATACAGATTTTGCTTCCGTTAGGATGATTCATTAGGCCTACATTTTCCCCTATCACATTTCTGATTATGAACCCCCTCAATCCTGAATCGTTCTCATTATTTTAATTCCAGCACATTCTTTGTTTTAACAAAATTTATTATATACACTAGTGTACATGTTGCTCGAATTCGAGCAATTACAAAGTATTACAGGAGTTATTTCAGATTGAATAACAGTCATATTTACAATGAGTTTAAGAGAGTCGACTCAAATATTACCGTTGTGTAACTCAGACCCCGTTTATCTTCGTTATTGATAAACCTAAAGCATTCCGGACGGTTCTCTCCTTCTCAAAATGCCTCGCTGTACAGGCAACACAGGTCATTAATAGAGGGCCAATTGAGAACGAAAAGTTGTTTTGGGGTAGTGTTAGGGCGCATTTGTAACCAAATAGTTGAAGTTGTCCAGGTTCAGGTTCAGACTGTGATGAGTTAAGCCTATTACGCGCCACTGTTCTGTATAGCTGCGGTCGTTATCACGTTTGCGCCCCCTGTCTTTGTTTCGTTGTCGTTGCGTCGGAGACATTTAAAAGAAATAAACAACAAATAATAAACAAATTATAGCTACACAAAACAACAATAAATGCACAAACTTAAGTTACAATCATGCTAACACAATCCATCATAGCGACACAAAACAACGATAAATACACAAATTTAAGATACGACCATACTATAGTCCTGGCCACCCTAAGTTGAGGCAGCCAAAGGCCGCACGGCGTATATCTAGTGCGACCTTTGGCTGCCTCAACTTAGGGTGGCGAGGACTATAACATGATCCGTCTTGGGGGTTATGTTTACACAAACTCAAATAGTAATTAAATGTACTCAATGTGTTTCATTGAATTGAAAAGTAAATAACAGCAATAAAATTATACAGCTGATCAAAATGTAAACAATTATGTTCTTCATAAGGATAACATGGGAAGTTTCAAAGCCACTGGGGCAGAGCCCAAGGGACTTTTTCAAAAATGTAAGGTCAGTTTGCAAATCTACGCGACACGCTCTTTCCAATGAGACGTCAATGGATAAAATCGGTTAGGAAATGGTGGAGGAGTTCAACCGACAAACTTTCGTGTAGCGTATTAATTATATAGATTCTATTCAAAATAGATTTTTTTTTCTATTTTATAAAGTTATAACTAACTGGAAAATCATTCAACCTGTTTTAATTTAAGGTAAAAAATCATCTAACTGTTATGGACCCGGTTAACTTGAGAGATGAAGGCTTGTCAAATAATGTGGAGGGAAGAGACAAACTAATAAAAGTAAAGCAGGAACTGTTGGCAGAAGAAGAAAGTCTTTGTCCTGTAAATCTAGTTGAAACTGCAGAACAGATAGAAACTAACGACGATGAAAATGGACCCAGCTTTACGATCATTACTGATGTAAGTTTATAATTATAAGAATCGCCTGTTATTGGTGACACATAATTTTGTAACCTGTAAAAACTAATTTGCAAATTTAGAAATGCTATACAGTACAGGTACTTATGTACATAGGCTAATAGGTCTAGTGTATAAATATTAAGATTAATACCTAATCATCAAATCAATGTAAGGATTTTACTCCTTTGGTTTACAGAGGTTGTTGAAATCAAACCTCAGTATTTGTACTTCATTACAATCAATGTTTTAAGAAATTTATTACCTAAAGTATATTTAATTAAGTAGGCCTACTGATATTTATAAAATTGAAATTGTTTGTTTTTCTATTGAAGCGACCTTACAAAGTAAATAATAACCTAAGTGACGTGACATGAAGAAAAAATAAGTAACTCATATCTAAATAAAATAATTAATATTTTACTGAAGAACTAAGATTACAACTTTTCTTCTTGATTTTTGTCCTAGTAGGTAGTACTATTTCAAAGCAAAACATTTGGAAAATAAAGTTTTATGTTTTTATTACAACTCAACCCATGCTTATCATCGTGTTTTAACTTTAGGATAACGAAGAACACTCTGACTATAGGCTGCAGATTGCTACACCTAAAAATAAGCGTAAAAGAGAGTTTTCAAGAAGGGATTACAGGTAAGGATTTCAAATATGTGAGAACATTTTTAGAAGTGCTGTCTACCAGTTAAAAAACATTTTATAATTAAGAAGACTGACTAGTTTCGATTACTATTTTATTTTCGTTTAACAAACATTCGAACTATGGCCATCTGATAGGACTAAATAACTAACCTGTCATATCAACCAATTGTATCATTAACTATGGACTCCTATAATGTTGAAACTTTGCTCTGAAATTATAGCCCTGTCCACTTTCACAAACAGAGCCTATTATACAACTTGTGTTTTAATGTGTGAAACTAATCCACTTAAGTTTCAAGCCATGAAACAGTTTGAAATACAATTTCTGGATTCCCCAACATACATGACATTAAATTAACAATGTCACATGCCTGATTATTCATACGACCACATCTCCAAATTTTTCACCCATATTCACAATGAGATGATAAAATCATGAAACAGTCTATTTAAAAAATATTAATTGGTGATGTAAGGTTAATGATGTGTCCACTGCCAGTAACTTATCTATTTGATTGCAGTGAGGAAGCTTTGTCAGCAGCTCTGGAAGATATGGCGAATGGTTTAAGCCTCCTAGAGGCCTCCAACACACATAACATACCTCGGTCTACGCTGTACGCTCGGGCCAAGAGTTACGGCATCACTCCCTCCATCTCACGTTATGAGTATTCACAGGAGAACCTGTTAGCAGCCGTCAATATGGTCAAAGGTAAGATCACCAGAATGGATAAGTTTGTTAACAAGTATTTTTTAGATTGAGAGTGAACTCATTTCATAGCTCGACTTAGAGTAGAGTCTTGACTATCCACTAAACAGGCATCGGTAATGTTGAATAAGTGGACAAATCAGATAGTAAAGAAAGGTAAAAAATACCATTACATTTTCTCCATTTCAAAATTATTCAAATTTTTCAATTGAAATCACTCATTTTTTCCCATTGAAGATAAAGCAATCTTGAATGACTGTAAAAATTACAAACAAAGTAAAAACTTCACCACTAAGTAAATGAAGTAAATTATTGGCATCAGTGTGGTATCATACATCATTCACTCAGCCACAGTTCTTTGTTGTGACTAAGATGTGAGAGGTACAGATGAAATGAGGAGTTTATGAACTGTTTACTATGCAGCAGGCTAAAACAATCAAAAAGTAGGCTACAGGTACAATAGAACCTCGCTAATCCATCACCTACGGGACCAGGAGCATGGTCCGAACAGCAAAAAGGTCAGATTATCAGAGGAACAAATATTGACATAAAAACATAGTAAAACTGTATTTTGAACAGACCACGGTAACTGAAAACCACAGTTAATCCAACATGACATAAAACAGCCATTTCGAACTCGTAAACAACGCCTAATACTGTATAAATGGAATTTAATGTGATAATTTGCATATTACATCATCAAAATACAATTAGTAGGCTATTGCACAATCATGATAATTATGTTAAGTCATTAACCTTTGTTCAGTAATAAAAACTGTAACGTTTGAAATCACAGATTTCTCAAACGTTTACGCAAAAAACATGTCGCAAACATTGTATAGCAAAATAAAGAACAGAAAAATAGAAAGTGTAGTAAGCTACTGCTACACTGTTTCAGGACAGAAGAATTTTGATAAAAACATTAGATAACGCATAAAGAAAGTATAAAATAATGGTAGCCTACTTATAGATGACTAGCTGTACCCGCGGGCTTTGCCCCGTTTAACTTCTCAATTTTCAAGATAAGCTCGTTCGCATGGTTCAATCATGTCCTGGGGCCCATTTCATAATAAACTACAAGTTACAACCTGTAACTTGTAATTTCCATAAGATTTGCATTGGGCGATCAGCTGATTTACTAATAATATTAGTTTGGACTTTATTATGAAATGGGCCCCTGGTTGAAGTTCGTTCGCTATTCTCACTCACTTTTAGGTTGGAGCTCGTTCGCTGCGATCACTTGCCTTCAGGTTAGCTCGTTCGCTACGCTCACTCACCTTTTGGTTACAAATTAGCTGTCATAAATTAAAAAAAAAAAATAGTGCTGCACCCTGTTGGTAATCCTTGTAACTTTAATGCTATTGCACATCATAGAACAAAACCAACTTGATTAATTGAAACAGCAGTTAAGATCCATTAATTGCATTTAAATATGAGTACTCATAAGGTTAACATGGGAAACTCCAGAGCCACTGGGGCGGAGCCCGAGAGTCCGATCAGAATAAAAACTACTTAGTTTTCCTATTTAATGTCTAAAGAATCAGTGTAGCAAATTTCAGCCTCCTAGGTAAATGGGAAGTGGGAGAATTAGTGATGAGTGAGTGAGTGAGTGAGTCAGTCAGTGAGGGCTTTGCCTTTTATATATATAGATAACAACAGTCTAAAATACACCGATAAAGATAACAATGACATAAAAACATCACTTATTCTTTTTCTTTGTTCTTCTATTCTTTCTTGAGTTTCTCTTCATCCACCCATTCAGCAAGTTGCCATGGTTACTAATCACCCAATCACAGGCTACTAAAGTTGTCATGGTTACTAAATACCCAATCAAAAAATGTTGTGACAGAGAAAGCAGTGTCGTTGCAGACAAATCGTTACGTTTTATCTTAGTGTGTACACCGGGCTTTACTCAAGTTATCGCCTTCACAGTCGTGTATGTATATACAGTACAGTAGCGGCTGGTGTTCATAGGTCTCTGCAAGGGCTCTGCATATTTTTATATGTAAACGAAAGCCTAACATCAATCAAGTTTGTTAAAGAATTGAAAAAAATGTAAGGCTCAAAGTTGTAATAAAAACATGCATATGCCTAGCCTACGATATATATTTATTTAAAGTTCTTTCCAAGGCTGCTATTGTATTTAACTTAATAACAGTGTCTGTAGGATACATGCACGAACAGTACTCCTACATCTCTATTCATTAATCATTAAACAACTAGGCCTACACCAAACCAAAATAACATTTTGAGGTTAGCTCGGTTGATTTCTAGTTTTAAAAATTAGATAGATGGTTTGAGTTATGAAAAAACAGGTGCGCCAACATCAGTTCTACCCATCATAACGGTAGCTTGCAATACAGAATATCCAGATTGTGGTGGCTGCCCTGTTTTAAGATTGTGCACACAACTTTGGACTCTACCTTAAAGTGCCCATTTTAAAGCATTGGAATTACGTCATGGCACCCTCAACGCTGTTTTGTTGTTCTGCCATAAGACTACATGTTGGGATTGGGACGGTCTGGCCGCGGTCCTTACTAAGCAAGCGACGATCAAAAATTAGTATTACTGTGTCACCTATGGTAAAATCTACTTCCCTAAGACAAATTTGCTAAAAGTGTGCTTCAGCGATTTACATAGCTCCTTGGTAATTTTTCAGTAACCTTTAAACGGTCTAAGTAGACCATAGCACAAAAAAGTTGATTTTTGCCTACAAATATTAACTGTGAACTTGGTTGACAGCTGGTGCGAGTTTACAGTCTGCATCAGCAATGTACGGCATACCTAAGACTGTGTTGTGGCGACGGGTCACTAAGGTAATCGGCAACTACGCTCTGAGTCAACGGCTCAAATCTCGACAGAGATATCAGCCTCACGCTAAAGAAGCCGCCATCAGAGCTCTCGAGAGAGGGGAGAAGATTAACAAAGTTTCATCCATGTATAAGGTAAAACAACACCATGGTGGCCGGATATGAGAGGTGCAATTACTGAGACGTTGCATATAATCTAAGGACGTTTTAGGCTGAATGTATCTTTCAGTCTGGATGTAAAATTTGCTTTTAATAAATTTAGTCAACAGTCAGGTAAACATGTTAGATTTTTCCATTTCATCACAGCACTATTTTAAATTTTTTACTATGACAAATCAAAAATATGTCAATCATGCAGAGTCTGATAGTTGTTACTGACCAAGTTTATGTATTTTTCAGATTCCAAAGACAACGCTGTTCAGAGAAAAGAGCCGACTGGTTGAGTTGGGAAGACTTCCACCATCATGTCTCAACAAAAGAGAGCCTAACAAAGATAGCTACAAGCAACAACGTCTCACTCAAGCAGTGGCCGCTTGCAAAGAGGGCCGCATGTCTCAAGCCGCCGCTTCCAGCACATACAAGGTGCATTATAACTAATCAAAAACTTTCAAATAACTTTCATGAGGAACCAAATAGAGGACTTAACACTTTCTCTTTTAGCAAATTTTTCATATGGGGAATAAGCTATTACCTCTATTACCTTAGGTCTCATAGCAAGACCTGGACCTGGGACCGATAAGCTTATTCGTTTTGAGGTTACCAGAGGCCAAAAACAACCCAATTCATATATTTATTTAACGATTTACTTTTTTGTTTTGAGGTCCCTAGAGGCCAAAAACGCCATCCGTTCAAATTCATACATATATATATTAATTTAGGTGTTCACGTAAGGGCTGCTGATATATTAAATATTTAAGTAAATAAGTAAATAAATAAAATATAATATACAGGGTGCTCAGTTGTACTTATTTACTTAAATATTTAATATATATATATATATATATATATATATATATGAAAAATATAATAATAGGGCTATTATATATAAATAAAGATTAAACATTAATAAACTTAGTACCCAAGTAAAATTATTTATTAAAATATTTACTGACTATAGTTTCGGCTCTAAGGCCATTTTCAAAGATATATATGTCTGTTAGCGCGATAACTCGAGCAAAAATGATCCGATTTTGATGAAATTTGGTACAAACGTGTAAACCTACATTTATTCAAACAAGTTCGCGAACCAGCATGATCGGACTATGGGAACTGTGGTTTATGGGGTAAAAATAGGTTTTTCCCATTTTTTACCCTAAAAACACATAATTTCACAATTTCTTTCCAAACCATTTTGTAGAGCTTAAAAAACAAATAATTTAGTATATTTAATCGTTATTATGCGCCTGATGGTTACGAAAAAAATTCCATAAAACTGTAAATTTAAAATTCTAATGTTATTCTTATGGAGAATAAGTTAAGGAGAATGTTGTAAGTTTGCTTGTTTATGAACATATTTTGATCAAATTTGGAAAATGAATTCATTTCATTCTAAACTATAAACATTTTACAAAAAAAAAAACACATTTTTACCCTCCCTGTTGCAGCAAACCTAAGTACTCGTTAAATTAATGTTATTTAAATCTATATAAATAAAATTAGAGTTTTGTCTGTCTGTACATTGCTCAGAATTATATATTTTTAGGTCATTTTTACGTTTTATACATTAAAGAAGCAGAAACAAGTCTTATTTCTATTTCTGTCTGTCTTTCTGTCTGTCTGTAACACTCAAGGTGGCATTTTACGCAATCTTCTCCATGAAAACGAGAGTACCTATCAAGATCCAAGTCATTTTAATGTATTCACTGGATTGGCGAGATTGTCTTTAGCCATTAAAATATGGCCTCACTACTTTGTAAATAAAATTACGGACGTTCAAAAATGCAGTTTTGTGCGGATTGTCAAATTTTCGTTCAATTTTTATCACAAAATCATCTATGAAATAACGAACAACTGTTCGGATCAAGATTATTTTTTCTAGCTGTCACGCATATGTTTACAAATACCGCAACCATTTCCGATCACGTTTTGAACGCAAATCCCAACTAAGTGAGATTTAAAACGTTTTTCTTACATAACGGATTTAATTAATCGCAAGTTCAATAATATAGTGTAACCGTAAATGAAATTAAATAACAGGAACCAGAAATTCTTTGCGTATAAATTGTGTTTCAGTTTTGATAACCAGAAAGAAGACCTTGAATCAGTGTTGTATAGGGCTGGGACACTTAATGTACGTCGTAAATAGTTTACAAACAAGGTTTCCACTCATTGACGGCGCTTCAATGGCGATTGTGTAAAGTGTGAAGTAAATAAAACACAACTGCAGTGGGTGATTGTAACAGAGGTTTACGGATGATGCTAAACTCGCTTTTCCAATGTGTCACTTTCTACTCTACTTTGTTTCTACTCACCGTGTGATGCAATCGCTGGACCATAGAGCCAATATGGGCCCATAGCCCATCTCTTGGGTACGTACGCCTAACTATTTAATCATAACAACCTTTTTGACGACGATCCTTGATACCGGGACTCTTCCGTAGAATACATGGCCTACCTACTTAAGAAATAACATTACAAATGTCCAAAAACCCAACATTGTGTGATTTTTGTCACATTCAACTGTCTACTATAAGATCCCCGTGCGTAGAACGGGCACACAGCTAGTAGGGAATAAATGTGATATTTTTAAGGAGACATTTTTGTGTAAATCCAATTAAGCAAATGGAAATTTGCTTAGTCGGGGTATTTTAACAATATTACTGTTTACGACTTACAGCTTCAACAATCAATTTTCATGGAACTTTTTCATTGATTATATTTATTTTGTAGTAATTTTGTTCAGCACATTATGTATTCCAAAAGTTTTAAAGCTAACATTTTCTCCACCACAGGTCTCAAAAACAACAATTTGGAGAAGACTACAGCAAAGCCAGGGCAGAAAACAAATTCGATATATCAAAACGAAGGAAGAACCAGTGGAAGAAAATGAAGAAAGTGTTCAGTTTGAAGAGGTAAGTTTTGATGAGCGAGCCAAAATATTATGCATACATTACATTTACATTGATAGGACTGATGAGGTGGCTTGAACCATCATTATTGGAAATAAAGTAATGATATGAAAATGTAATTAGACTTGCTATACATTAACATGGAAAATTTAAAAGCCTGAGGAGGTAGGTAATATCCTGAGTGAATTTTTCTTCAACTTCCAATCTAAATAAAAATAAACACTTGTAGAACACAAAACTTTTATTTTATACCAAACATTTTATATTTACATATAAATCCATCTCAATTATATAGACATATTCATCGTAATGTATCAATACCTAAAAAAAGGTATCATACACGAAAGAGTTGGTAAAGACCAAAGACAGTGTCAATTAGGATAGCATGTAGGGAGGATGAGGAAAAGGCTCCTAACACTTAAAGTCAGACCACTATTTTTTAACACCCCTGAACAGCCTTCCCTACAGCATGGTCTTCGGGATTGTGGTTACTTGTTTGTTGATTTCATGTTATGAACATCCTACCAGTAAAATCTATTATCCAATGTTAATCTTTCAGATTGTCTCCGAGATACCTGTCACTTATGCTGAGGACAGCTCTTACACGGAAGGTTCTTTTATCATCCTGGCACCCAATGGTGAGTTTCCCGTGGACTTTGAGGGAGAAATGTTAGTGGCAGAAAATGTAGAAGATGTGGGTGAAATCATAGAGATACCTACATATGTAGAAGAAATGTCCAGTCAGATGGAGGAATGCTCAACAACTCAAGAAAACACAGAGATCCAGGAAAACACACAGCTCCAAGAAAACACACAAGTTGAAGAAGCGGTTTGAGACCTGTGAAACGGTTACCATTGTCTTTCTACATTATGGTAGTTATGGCGTGGAGTTCTTGACTATCAGACTTACAATGTGATGGTTCTTTCGAGAGAAGTTTGCTGATTACCAAGTCCGTAGTTACCACGGGAATTATTAGACTGACTGAACTATACACCGAAAATATATGAACTTCAGAATATTGACACTGGTTGTGTATCCATCTGGTGCAAAGAATCCACTTAAATTGTTCATGACGCTTTCCTTGCCAAATGGTTGTTATAGGAGACAATTGTAGTGCCAAACGGCAGAGAGAAAAATTTCCTCGAAATACTGTAACATTTGACAAATCAACTGAATCGGGGTGTGGACATAAATATACATATCCTGAACCCCTTTTATACAGTGTATACATACAATGTTTATATATTGTCTACTGGTTAGTTTTACTATTTTTAGCATTTTACAAGAACAACTTAGGAATGTTATCTGTCAAGATATTTATTTTAAGAACTTGGTTTGTTGCACTAAGTAGCCTCCTTTCAACTATACCCGTTTTTTACAACAATATGAAATGAACTTGAAAAATAATAAAAATGTAACACCTAAGTTTTATGCTATTTGATTTATTTCCTATAGAGCAGATATTTTTATTTGTTAACACATTATTCAGTGATACGCTATCACCTCAGGGGGTTGGCCCGCTAGGAGTCAGAAAAACATCTTAAATATAAGAATTGGTTTTTATTTTAGGCTCATCAAATTAAAGTCCTTTGTTAAAACTACAATGCTGCAAACCTGAGCTCAAACGGACAACGTCAAAATTGGCAGCTATTCAAATATTAGTTGAATTTGCACACTACTATATTAGTTGAATGTTATTATAACGGCCTCAGGGAGACAACCGCTAGAAATCGGATGAAAATTATAAACTAAAATCGTAAACGTAAATCGATATGCATATCACATTAAAGGTCTTCATTATTATAATTAATGACACAAATTTTAGATCAAAAGAACGGCTGCTATTTTGGACTCGGTTGTCCGTTTGAGTTTGGGTTTTCGGCATTGAATTCTACTAGTAAAGGATTTAATTTAATCAACATGTCAACCTATGCTTGGATTTAAGATTTTATTCTGACTCCTAGAGGACCCTGAGGTGGTAAGATTGTCATTGAATATGTTAAAATTTATTATTTTCCTACAGTCACCCGACAAAGTTGGCTTCCTTGTACTGTTTATAGTACAGAAAGCTGCTAATTGCTGCATATTTGTACTTTGTCGTACGGTTTATACTTTGGCGCACATCAGGATTCCAACGAAACAACACAAAACAGCGTGGTTCTATTATGCACATAATCCGTGTACGCTTGGAAATAGGTTGGCAACACTTAAAGATAATAATACTATGAGCAGCTGATTGACTATTATAACTACGATTAAACCTGTCATTTTGTGTTTAAAGTTTCGGTATTTCTGAACTTTCTAGACTTTTCTTTTAAACGTTTTTAAAACATTGCTATGATCTTAATAAACAAGAAAATACCTTTAAGAAGCATTTTTTTAGGCGCGGAAACCACTTTAAATTACAAAAACATACTGAACTATTTTCTCAAGTCGCGGAGCACATTGCTTGCCGAGGAAAAAATAGCGGAGTGATACAGACCAGTGACTACTTTCTCTAGGGCACCTATTTGTGTTGCCAGCTGAACCTAAAAACGTGTTGTATAGTGTTTGAAAGACTAATTATTTATATGCTTTATAGTGACTGTAGGAAAAATATAATGTGTAACACGAGTGCAAAAGGCCTTTGCTGCACTCGAGATCATTCCTCTCGTAAACATTGCTCTTGTGTGCAGCAAAGTGCCACTTTGCTCACTAGTTACACAAATAACTATTATCATACTGCAGCAAAAACAACCGTTCTTTATATGCGTTGGGGGTTTTCAAAGTAGCATTTTTACTCCCCAAGAAAAAGCCTATTTAGTCCCTAGGGAGTAAAAAACAGCTGTTCTAAACAGTTATAAATTTTGATTGTAGCAATCGCATGGATTGAAATTTTCTATCGATTAATTAGGTAAAGTTTTAGCTTATTGTTGCATTCTTATCAATAGTTAGACTTATCGATGGTATAATGTACAGTTAGAAGAATCGTAATAGACTAAATTATTGAACTACTAATTTAAACGGCTGCTTATTTACATTACCATGTTTAAAACAAGCTGGAAGTCGTTTTGAGAGGTTATCTTCACAGAATAGTTATTTGTGTAACTAGTGGGAACTTTGCTGCTCACAAGTTTCTCGAGTACGCAAAGGCAGTTTGTATTCGCGTTACACATTATATTTTTCCTAGAGTTTCTATAGGTAAGTCATATAAATAATTAGTCTTTCAATTACTGTGCAACACATTTTTAGGTTAGGTTAAATCCAAACATGGAATGAAATGGGAAACGCTGCACAAGCTGATCATAGTCGTAATATGTATCTTTAAGTGTTGCCAACTTATTTTTAAGCATACACGGATTACGTGCATAATAAAAGCATGCTGCTTTGTGTTGTTTGGTTGGAATACTGTTGTGGGCCAAAGAAAGGGTTTCTGTACTATAATCTGTGCAAGGAAGCCCACTTTGTCGGGTGACTGTAAGAAAAAGTAATTTTTTAGCTTTAGTTTGTTGATCAATTACAAAAATATAGTTCATAACATAGGCAAAATAGACTTGCTCATTTTCAGTTCTGGTTTCGCCTCGATGGTAAGACTTGAGCTCAGGAGGGAGAGAGAGTATTGCGATTGCCGCTTGAGTGATCCTAGCGGCCGCCGCCCAAAGCTCATTTAGGGGGCAAAATTCTAGTCTGCCTATTCTCCATAAGCATTTCGCTTATTATTGGTTGTATTCATTGGTTTAACCACAGTCAGATTGTAAACAGTTAATGAAAATGTATTTTTCCTACAGTTACCTAACAATGTACATGTTCTCTCACTGATTTGAGAAAGCAAACTGGCCAATTCGCTCATGACAATGTTAACATTGTCTCACTCCAGATTTGCAACGTGAAGGCACGAAATAGTGAGCGCGTAACATGCAGGCAACGTATGCGCGCGAAATACGTTGGCAGCACTGGCTGTAAATCAGCTGGTCAGCTGTTGCACTGTTGTATTTGTCACTAAACATTAAATGTTATATTAAAAGTTCACTTCTGTGTAAAAATAGGTCATGTTTCTTCACAAATTTATTTGTTTTATGGTAACTGTAGGAAAAGTATAATGTGCAACTCGAGTTCAAAGTACAATTGCCTCACTCGAGAAACCATTCCTCACTCGCCTACGGCTCGTGAGTAACGATTTCTCTCGAGTGAGTCAATTGCTCACTTTTCTCACTAGTTGCACAAATAACTACTAAATAGGCTACATTGGTGACAACTATACCTGATTTAGGTAGATAAATCACTCTTTCCAGTGTAGGTCTAAAATCATATTTTTTTTAAAGTTAGTAGTTCTATTCACCCAATAACTGTAAATGGGTTATTTATAGCACTGGATCCACTTTGCCTTAGAAACAAGTTTTGGACCCCATAAAACAGCAATTTGCAAACAGGTCCCATGTAAAAGTTACAAGTAGCAAAACACCTGATTTCAGGTGCTAATCACAAAGACTCTGTATCATTGTGGCAGTTTCCATGTGACTCTTTGTGTTTTGTAATTTTATGTTAACAAATGGACTATCAACATTTAATAAGAAATTTGATCCTACATCAGATACTTATTTTGGTATAAACCATAAACCATGCAACAGCATTAAAATATGTGACGATTGAATCACCTCAGGTTCTAAACAGCCTAAATGGTGAACAAAGGATTGGGTCCATGTCCTTAGCTGATTGCAATTTATTATTTCCTTTCCACTCTACTGTAAACGTTATCTGATTTGTGTAAAATTTGGTATGAGTTTTTTTACAAACATTCTGTTTAGAATAGGTATGTTTTAGATCAACTACAATATCATTGTTTTGTTTTATTTGACTTAATATGAGTAAGCAAATTACTCACTGGTCTTTATTAAGTTCCCTAGTCTCCTTTAGTGGGGACTCTGCCAAATTGCAGTAATGAAGGACCTTGGGGTTCACTGTATCCTGCCCAGAAAAATAACATCCTTTCTCTACATTCATGTGGTCTTCGTTCGTGCCAGTCTTTCCTCTGAAAGGCCTCGGTTGAAAAATGTTGGATGGCTTAGTAACACAACCTGATAAATGTTCCTTTCAGTGCATTAGCACTTCAGTTGAAGCACAAGAATTTCAAGTACAATTTTCAAACAATCTAGTGTTTGAATTTTGGTGGAACATCTATCTACATTTTGTTGATAGCTGAGATGAAAAAGGATATTCTGTATGTGGATAATCTGTAACTTCTTCTCAACCATTTCTAAACTGATTATGCAATGTACATACATGTGAATATAATTGAAATTTGACAAATTCGGAATCCAATTCATTATTGTAGCAGATAATCCTAGTTTTAAAAATACTGAACAAAAACTTGTTTAATGAAAGACACCTACAATTTATCCACAAAACAAGGTAACCGAGTAGGAACAACAGTCATCTGAAAACCCAATGGTTGGTGCCTCCCCATGTAGAAATCTAATTCTGGCCCAGGTTCTGGCCAGTACTGGTACAGTACTGGCCAGTACTGCTACAGTACTGGCCAGTAATACCCAGGTTCTGTCCAGTACTGCCCAGGTTCTGGCCAGTACTGCCCAGGTTCTGGCCCAGTACTTCCCAGGTTCTGGCCAGTACTGCCCAGGTTCTGGCCAGTACTTCCCAGGTTCTGGCCTGTAATGTCCAGGTCCTGGCCAGTACTGGTTAGAACCTGGACCAGAACCGGCCAGTACTGGCCAGAACTCACCAGTACTGGCCAGAACTCACCAGTAACTGGCTAGTACTTGTAGATTCTAGACCAATAATCAATCTTGACAGAGTACAGTATGTAAATAAAGGAACCGAGGTTAAGGTAATAAAATACAGATATTTGAAGTAAAAACTAGTCAATTAGTTAAACCTATATTTATTGAAAAATTAAGTTTAAAGCAAGACAAAATTTATAGGCCTACATGTTTAGATAATTTTCAAGGGTAAAAACTGTTACCATCAATAATATCGACTCAACTTGAACTCGCTCCCCCCCCCCGCACCATGGTTTTAAACCTATCTGGATTCGGATCCAGTCCAGTTAGTCCAATTGAAGGTTTGGGTTTGGCAATGGCTTTGACCTTTGACCAATGAATACGAATACACAATTTAACGTTTTTTTAAGCTCAACGCATCGCCAACAAAAATCTAACACAAGAGGACAATAATTAAGACGAGGACAAGACAGAAGTGAGAAGAGCAAAGACGAAGATAACTATTTTTTTTTGTACGAGTTCCATTCCATTCCAAAATCAAATCCGATCCAATCCAACGTGACGCACGCCGGAGCGGAGCGGAGTTGTTACTAACTAACCTCAAATCTCAACCTGTCAGTTGGTCAGTTCAGTTTTGGTCTCGACATCTTTATTAACAGTTAATTTCTAACTAAGGTGTTCTTGTCTTAGTTATATCTTAAT